GGTAGTTTCTTTCATAAAAGGACGAGGTCGTAATCTCCCTTGTCCCCAAGTCTCGTTACTTGTTCTATATTTGCTGTGTTCCACTCTAAGTTCGTACTGGTCACTCTGTTGTTCGAGGCGCATATTTATGTTGTTGTAGCAGGTGTCTGGTTTGCCTGACCGGGTACTTGAGTTATTTTCAGGTATCTTGCGTGACAGTAATGCCCTCTATGTTTGTGATAGTCTCTGCGAATCATCTCGCTTGTTAAGGCAGTTGGGGCGTTTTTTAATTTCGATTGCTTCCCGAATTATCCTGGCCTGAAGATTTTTCTCTTTAGCAATGGTCTTGGTGTTTTCGAAACTTATTGCGTGGCCTGTTTCCTGGTGGTGTTTCGAGAGAGATGATGCTGGATCCGATTTGCGAACAGCTAGTCCATGTTCATAGGCTCTGTTGGAAATTCTTCTATTGGTCTGGCCGATGTAAGTTCTGGGGCAGTTTGAACATGGTATTTCGTATATGTGCTGTACTCCATTGCGTATCGTGTCCTTGGGTGTTCTTAACATAGTGGAGATTTGGTTGTTGGCTGTGAATACTGTCTTCACGTTATGTTTCTTCATGCATTCCTGAACCATATCAACTCCTTACACCTCGACCCAAAGTTAACGATGAAAGTTGAAAATAATAACTCACTCGCTATCGTGGACGTTCTCATCACAAAGTCCAACAACTCTTCACACACGGTCTACCGAAAACCTACCCATACTAACCGCTACCTCAATGCCAAGTCCCATCATCATCCTGCTCAGCTGAATTCCGTTCTGAATTTCTTCATACATCGTTCTATAAGACTCACTGACAACCACAATAGATCCAGGGAACTATATGAATTCACAACCGCTCTTCACCAAAACGACTATCCCGTCTCCCAAATACAAAGATTCATCCAACGACAGCAAACACAAACCCCACCCCACGAGTTATCCGGGGAACAGACCAACCAGACAAAAGCTTTTCTCTCCTACATCCATGGAGTCACTGACAAAGTGAGCCGAATTCTGAAGAAACATAACGTAAAGACAGTAATTCACAACCAACAAACAAATCTCCACTATGTTAAGAACACCCAAGGACACGATACGCAATTAAGCACAGGGAATATACGAAATACCATGTTCAAACTGCCCCAGAACTCACATCGGCCAGGCCAATAGAAATATTTTCAACAGAGTCTATGAACATGAACTAGCTGACATAAAATTCGCAGCTACTTTTATCAAGTACTTTCTTGGTTTTTTCTCAAAATAAATATAGTTATAGAATATAATATAAGAATGTCGCGATTTTTGCCGTACAGCGACAAACGACAATAATCGCGAGCATAAATGAGGCCTGAGTAACGACTTCAATTTTTCTTATACTGCATTTATGATGAATGAATTGATGTGAAAATGTTGAATTTCTTTCATTTTTTTCAATAAACAGTTAGAGAGATGTTGGGTGTATTGATGAATCATTTGATAGAAAATACAAATATAAGTAATTTCAGTGATATAGTGAACTGATGATTTTGCTAATGATTGTAAACACAAGAGGGTGCAAAACCTCTTGATTATCAATGGCGAGTACCCCCTACCAGTGGTCAAAATATTTATTTCGGTATTTAGGTTCATCAGTATTTCAAATCAGTGGTTATAACAAAAATGTGTGTGAAGTTTGTTCATACTAGAAAAAAAAAGAGAAAGAACATAATGAAAGTGCAGTTTTAAAATTCTGGTGGCATAATTCATTGCATATTGTATATTATGTATGTGTGTCTGTGTGATAGCGTAAGGGTGGAGCAGGAATTGCAGTCGGAGACAAAAAAAAAGAGAACTCTTTGTCTTGATCAAGCTTTCGAGATTTTATTGGATCTTCTTCAGGTAGTCTATAGATATGATAAAAAAACAATTGCAAAACCAGTGAACCATAGTACTTACGGAAGGTGAGCTTATGAAGGTGAGCTTATGAATATTTTTTTTTCCTGATACATTATAAAATCTGAAGGATGCAAAAAAACTCGTAAAATTCAAACACATGGAAAAAATCGTACCGTTGAAACGGAGAGGTGACTCAAATAAAATTGGAAAAATTGTTTGAAATTTTGAAAAAACATTTTATGGACGACATGTCCGAATTAACTGTCAATTGTCTTGTTGACATATAACAATAATGTCAATGAGACATAGAACTCAAAATAGATGGAAACATCTCTGAGTGACTGCCTACACCACAGGAGTTATGCTGATACTTCAAAATATTCTGTTGAAAGAACAAGAGAATTATCATGCAAGAAAATTAAAGTTTTATTCGGTAATAGTGACTAAGTGAGCAGTCAGGTACAGACAAGAAAATTCACCTACGTTTTCGAGTTTGTCATACTCAGAATCGGTGGCCAACCTCTGTGTGTATGTTTGAAGGGATCGATGGAACAGGTGCTTACATTGCCTGGGTTCTGAACTTCAACCGATTATATGTGTGAAGGGTGAAATTTTGAAAATATCTCTTCTATGCATAGCTTCACATGTAGTGGTGATCTAATTAGAAATTTTGATAACTCAAAAGTACAATATAAATCATTTCATGAAAGTGAATTACTCAGAGTCATTTTCTATGTTAGCAAATTTTTACTATCAACTGAGTCGTCATGAATTTTAAAACATATTTTTTAATCTTTCTGCCAGGCAAATTGAAGCGAAGTGACTCAAATTCGAGCACATCAAGACAAATTCAAGCAAATTAAGACAAATTCAGACACACTGAGCCAAATTCGAGTGAATTCAAATAAAAACTACAGGCAAATAAGAAAATTCAAGGCGAAATCAAGCTTGAATCGAAACAAGCTTGTAGTTGAAGTTATTAGTAAGAAATAGAAAACAAAGTCGGATTCCAAATGTAAAGACAATCCTTGAACAGCTGATGTGGTTCAGGTATGTATAGAGGCTCTCAAATCCATGAGGCTATATAACGTATCGAAGCCAACACGTAGATTTGAGGTCAGACAAGTTAATGGCTCTGGTTACAAAGCCTTTCATGCGAAGGTTTGCAAGGACTGAAGAGAGTGGAAAACTCATGGGGACGCCTTCAACTTGCTTCAAAATTCTGACCTGGTCCTGCAGTGGCTGATGAAGTTGAGAATCTCTTGGGGAATTTGGTGGTTCGTTTTGAGAAAGGAGGAAGATTTCGGATAGTGGAATATTAGCGAAAACGGACACTACGTCAAAGTTGACAAAGATGTCTGTCAGTTGGATATTGCAGAATTCCATGAAGTGATAGAAATTATGGACATATGATAGGGACTGTTCAGCTAGCGGTTGGAGAGTATGAGAAAGGTGTTTGGTGAGGATGTATGACTCGAAAACAATGACGATGAGACTAAGTGGGACCACTCAAAGGTTTCTCTTCCATTTATTCATGAAATTACCAACAAAGTGAGAGGTAGGATATAAGAACAGTACCTATTCATAGTCAACGATCGAATTTTCAATTTTCTTCGTACTCCTAAGAACACGATACAAAATGAGACACAGGACATATACGAAATACCATGTTTCACCTTCTCCAAAACTTACATCGGCCAGACTAACGGAAGAGTCTCCAACTGAGCCTATGCATATGAACTTGCAGTGCTTAAATCAGGTTCAGCCGCATCCCTCTTCAAATATCATCTTCACAAAACCCTCAATGTGTGTCACCATCTGAGGAGTGAGCAGATTGAAACCTCAGTGTAGTCATACCGTCTTGAAAAACGTTATTCAAGGTCCAGAATTATATGTACAAATTGCAACAATACGAACCGAATATGTACCTCCTCGGTTGTTTGCAAATAGCCTAACAATTTATTTTGATCCCTTCCGAGTACTTGTCTACTGGTTTCATTATTAAGGTTCAAATTGTCAACTCGATATATGTTAATCAATGACTTTTTCCATGGATGTGTTGAAAATATCTAGCTGTTCATATTGGGTTATCTACTTTATACATTTTTTGTGTCCCCGTTTTTTTCGAAGATAACTTTAAAACCATTTGGTTAGATCAACAGATGGTGACGCCCCTCATCCAGTCTAATGATCTCATACATACATGTCTTATTCATTTCGACTTAGTTGGGATTGGAATCGGCTAAAACACCACTGTATGTGTGCCATTTCTGTGATCTCTATACGAAATTAAAACTTTTTACAAGGATGTGTGGATCCTGCATAGAAGTTACTTTCAGATATAAACTGGAACATTGAATTAGTCGAAAATAACTTTTTCGTATTCGATTTGTTCTCCAAATGTCCTTCATTGAATTCAAAAAGATATCATTCATAGGAATGCTATACAATATGATGTATAAGAAAGTTATGATATGAAATTTCACTGACATGGAATACAATCATCCCCAATGGAGAAGTAGATAGCCGAAAGCTTATTTATATATCAACATTATTGATTCATATGTTCACCTTCACTTCCCTCTTGTTTAAAATTTTATGAAGATATCCAAATATCAAATTATTCATATTTCAAATTAATTGAGGGATAACAAAAACGATAGAAAGTTTTACATTCATCAATATTCCTGTTAAATATATCGATTGATGAAGACGGACCGGAATAAACAAACCTGCGCAAATGGGAAAGGAGTTGAAATTCCTAATAAGGAAACAATTCACTTGAACTAATTAAACTTTCACTTATTATTTAACTATATAAGTTTCAAGGTGTGAAAACTTCGAGATACTGTATAATACTGTTGGGGTAGGTCCAATATCTGACAGCCAAATTTGATATATTTATAGCTGGTAGGAGTATTTCAGCCACCTGTCCTTTTTGATTCACGATTTCCAACCATTTGCCAGAGGAAATGTCTGTAAATTGTCAGGATCTAGACCACTGGTAAGTAATATATGATATCAATTGTTGTTAGATTTCATCAACGTATTTCCTTATTCTCATAAAGGAAAGGAAATATCAGGCTTACAACCAACAGTTCTACTTCTGCTAACTCACATACGCTATAACTCGACTCTGTTTGCTCCAGCTCTGACATTCAGGAGAGACAGACAGTGGATGTTGGAGTTTCGAGGAACGAGACATTGATGCTCAAAAAAGTATAAGAATATGTGAATATATCTCTTTCCACTTTTCTTTCTCGAGTATATCTCAAGGATATAACATTATTTGGCACACTCATCGTAGTGTCATTTTTTACAGCTATTACTGTAAAATATTCTGACACAATTTAGAAATATAAATTTATTTTAGTGCAAAGGTAGGTGTCCGAATTGAGTTCAACTCGAGCAAGTCTCCAAAAACTTTTTTTAAAAAGTATCACCCCTCATTTTTTTCTAAAATGCACACTTGAAAATATAACTTTCTATTTATCAAAGAATGAATATTGAATTTGCTATGAAAAGAAACTCATATTGTGGTTGAAAAACTCTTCGTGGGTATTTCTGATTGTTCCATCTTTAAACTTTCTACTATACACCAATCCACCTAATCCACAAGAATGATCAAATAAGTTCTTTGACTGATTCAATAACTGGAAGATATAATGAAAATTAAGCAACAACACTAACGAACAATATAAACGGGGTTCAGTGGATTGTGTTTATGACCAACACATGTTTATTTGAAAATTACATATTCAAGTGTGTTAACTATTCGCATGCTGCTAATTCTATACAATATCATCCGAGCAGAACATGATTACCCATGATGAAAGAATGATAAAATTAAATAATGCTTAGAATTTTAAATCAATTCTGAAATATTGTTTGGTAAAATTGATTTGTCTTATATTTCACTATATATAACATTTTTACATCGTGCTCAATGGCCGTTTCATAGTCTAGGTTTAGGATGTCACGAACACTGAGGTCACTAATGAATTCACACGAGGAGGTTGAACCCCACAAACGTATTTTTGAATAACTCTCACTGCATATTTTGCCTTTTCGATACGTGTTCATCATCATTATCTGATATTATGTCACTGTTTTCATCTGTTTGATTA